CTCGCGGTCAGAGAGCGTTTTTCCGTCACTTCAAAACGGGAGTGGGGCTGAGTCACTTGCAGCTCAACACCGAGCTCAGTCATCAGCTACAGGCAACTCCGCTCGTTCATTCCAACGGGTCGCGTCCGTACCTGCCACATTGACTCCAGCTGCCCCTCAACCAGCATTACGTGCACCATTGTCGAGTGGCCTTGCTGGGACCGGTCGAAAAATTGGGCGTCCCCAACGCGTGCCTCGAGATGAGTACCGTGAACAACCTCCACTCACGCTGGATGAGCAGGAGGAGCTGCGAGTGCAGGAAGAGAAAGAAAATCTAATAACTATTCTTGATGGAGACGGCCTGCCGTCAGATGGCGCCGCCTCCAAACGAACATCCCCGCGATTGACCGCTCGTTCGGCATCTGTGAGTCAACTCGACGGACGGGCAATTTCCAGCCTCCCCACACGCGCATATGGATCATCCGCAGGCGCACGCCAGCCACTACAGCCTGGCCGGCAGATCATGCCTGGGCCCAATCGTGCGGGACGGGTATTGATGGGTATGGCTGTCAAGTATGGCGTGGGTTCGGGTGGGTTCGACAAGATTAATGAGAATGAAGGCAGTGAGAATGAGTTTGCTACCGAGCATGCCTACGATGAGACTGATCCCAGTGCGTATCTTTCACTCTTCCCTGGTTCCCCAACCCAAACCATTTATGTAGACGTAGATGAACCACAACCCGGAAATGGCGTGCTTCGCCATCGCAGTTATGTCGCTCCTCCTACTCTATCGAGCGGTACGCGACCTCGCCGTTCAGCTAGTTTGAGTGATGCCTCTGGAGGTATGATTCCAAATTCTTATCTGCACAAACCCGCTGTTTGAATTTAACAACATCCTCCTCAACAGAAGACCGACTATCTCCGCGCCTGCTCCCAAGCCAAAACCAACAGCAACACGCCCCACGCCCAGGGTCCAGTCTGGGCCTCAACTCAGCGCGCATCAGACGCGTGACGTCCGAGCAAGATGGTGCGTCGGTGTCCTAATGCTTGCATGTGCCTTTCTATTGACCGTATGATCACAGAGTATGCAGCAGAATATGCCCGCCGCGCAGCGGAAGAGGCGCCTGAACCTTTCCCTCAACCCCAACCCCGCCAATCGCCCTCCCCGACACATATGTCTCAGGCGCACATACGCACCCAGACGCACCATCGGCGCGACTCGGACACTGTTCGCTCCCTCGCGATCAATAACCCGCCCACAGCAGCCTCACCCACATTGGCCGATCGAAATCCAGGTAGACTGTCTCCGTCCATGCGAAATGTATCATCGTCACAGCTACAGGTACATGGACAAGCCTATCATCGGCGAAATCCTACAGCACCCGAGCCACCAACTACGAGTGGGTCGTTAGCGCCGCCGCCTAGTTCTGGCAAATCGAAGAATGGGAAGACGTGGGCTGCAGGGGACGAGCCTGCGGATAGCGAGCCTGAGGCCAAAACTGCGTCGCGAGTGCGGCAGGCACCCCCTCCACCCGCACCAGCGCCTGCTCCTGCTCCCGTCCGGAATCACAACATTGTTGTGAACAAGAAAGTGTATGCACGACTCGATTTGATTGGGAAAGGCGGATCGTCCCGCGTATATCGCGTGATGAATGCGAACAACGAGATCTATGCTATCAAGCGCGTGTCACTGGACAAGACGGACGCAGAAACTATGAGCGGATACATGAATGAGATCGGGCTGCTCAAGCGGCTTGAAGGAAACAATCGAATCATTCAGCTATTTGATAGTGAGGTGAAGGCGGGACCTGGAGGGACAAAAGGGCATCTGATGCTCGTGATGGAATGTGGAGAGGTTGATCTGGCAAAGTTGCTGCAGGAGCAGCAGAAGGAACCGATGAATATGGTTTGGATATCCTATTATTGGCAGCAGGTCAGCCAGAACACCTTATCGTTCATCTCTGTTACTGACGTGAGCGAGCAGATGCTTCAAGCTGTTCACGTCATCCACGAGGAAAAGATTGTTCATTCGGATCTGAAGCCCGCAAATTTCGTTCTTGTGAGGGGCCAGCTGAAGCTTATTGATTTCGGTATTGCGAATGCCATCGCAAATGATACTACTAACATCCAGCGAGATCATCAGGCAAGTTCTGCTTCAGGTATACATCCTTCATTATTAATTTCATTCCTCTCTCTAGATCGGAACTGTCAACTACATGTCCCCCGAGGCCATTGAACTTCCTGACGGCATGCGGCGGCTCAAAGTTGGACGAGCTAGTGACGTCTGGTCTCTCGGGTGCATTCTCTACCAGATGGTTTATGGTCACCCGCCGTTCCAACATCTTTCTGTATATCAAAAGATGAAGGCTATCCCGGACTTAGCTCATGTCATTGAGTATCCGGGCTGCAGCATACCTACTGTTGTGAACAAGGCAGGCGAACGCAAAAAGCTCGAGCATCTGCAACAACCTGTCAGAGCGGACGTTATTCAGGGCATCAAAAGTTGCCTGATGCGAAATTCAAAAGAACGGGCTACGATTCCTGAGTTGCTTGAGCAGGAATGGTTGGCGATGAAAGAACGTAAGAAATGAGGTACTCCATCTACAATTGTGTTGACCTTATTTTCTGTAGCTGAGGTCCCACTAGCGAAGCCCCAGCTAGCACAAGACGAGACCGTCATCAATCCCTACTACATGAAGCAGCTGCTTGAGTATGGTATTAAACTGGGTCAGCAAGCTCAAAGTGGCGATATAGATCAGGAATATCTCGCCAAAGAAGCAGAGGTACGTCTCCATCGACTATCCAACCTGGACCCATGTTAATCTCTATCCGTTAGCGCTTGGTTGCAGAGCTTAAAGCCCTCGAGTCGTGATATCTCCACGTCATGACTTCTCCACTGAACTCAATTCTCAATCTTTCAACATAGCATACTGTATTCGCCAACGTAGTCATCTTTCATTGCACACCGCCATGTCTTTGTATGAAAACGTCCTTCAAGAACAGTTCTCCCAACGACTTGTATGTACGCCTACGCTATGCCTTCCCATGTACTCCTCGCTCTAGACCTTTCCCTTGCCTTTCCTCCCTCGCATTCGAACTTTTAGCATTCTACACGCTCGCTATCCTAGCTGTGAACCTGCAATTGCATATCATTTCTCTATTTTGGTTCGTTCTGCATATGGGAGGGTTCTTGGCAAGTGTTCAGGTGATACGGCTTGTATATATAATTTCCGTATCACGTTGTAGGTATACTGTACAATACTATTTATGTAAGGCCATAGTTTATTTTATTTGTAGTGACTTGCTCAATCTGACAGGAGGTCAGCTGCGTTTCTTAAACAAGGTAAGTAATCTTATCGGCCTTACACCTTGACCACTACCGCCCAACAACATTCTCACCTGAACGCCAATAGCCTCTGCTATATTTTCGATAGTTTGATGGCGCATTTACCTTCCGACGTTTATCTCACAACCAGCTTCATGCATTCAGGAGATGTCAGTCCAACAACTCCAAAGCTCCAGCTCCAGCTTTCCATACCTCATCATGATCCAACATACTATATACCCGACGGAAACACCGTTCTACTCGTAGAAAACACGCTTTTTAGGGTTCGTTTCTGCGTGCATCGAATCGTGTCCTACTAACGCGGAGTCATCACTCTTAGGTCCATAGGTCGACACTGACGAAGGACAAGTCCACCTTTGACAGTATGTTCTCCCTAGACTCGGACCTACGCTCGAGCTCCAGTACGCCGAGTGTCACTGCGGGACCCGAAGGTGAAAGCGACGACAATCCGATCAGGCTCCAGGGAGATACGGCACAAGAGTTCCGCGCTCTTCTGTGGGCTTTATACGCCTTGTACGTACGTTTGCACAATTTTTGGACACAGTTGGATTTAGTAAATAACACGCAGGCCACACGAGCTCACCCTCGCGCTAACGCCTAAGGCGAATGCATCTCAGTTGTTCAATCTCGCTCGTATTACGCATAAGTATGAATTCCGCTCGATCGAAGCATGGGCCCTTGGTGCCCTTACGACTATATACACGCGCCCAGCGCACTCTCCAAACCTTCAAGTTGAAGACGCCGAGGGGCCCAACCTTGTGCAACTTACTGAACTTGCATCTCTTTGTGAGCAACGGGATCTTCTTGACGCTGCCACATCGCGATGGAAACGGCTCCTCGCATCTGGAAAGGACATCGCGCTCGCTGTTGGAGTTGCAGAACGGCTTAATCTGCGCACTCTGCTTGGTTTCGCGTATCATGCCATGATGCTTCAAGGCCGGGAAGTCTGGGATAACGATACGTCACTCACGCGAGCACAGCGCATTCGCCTTCTTTCCGGGCATTACGCTCTTGGCCGGCTATGGGAACGTCTGCCAGGCGAGCCACCTGCTATCTCACATAGTCCGCGGTGTACAGGGGGCGCTCAAGCACGGTGTAATCAAGCCTGGGCTGCGCTATGGCGCTCAACACTGGATATGGGCCGTCAGGTCCTGCTTCTACAATACGCGGATGTGGTGGGCAAATTGATGCTTGCAGAGAGTGTCACAAAGGCCCTTGTGGAGCGGGAGATACCTACGCAAGGAATGCTCGATGGAATGCCGTGGTGCAAAGACAACGTCTTGGTTGCTGTGGCTGGGAAGGTGAAGGAGGTACAAGAGAGTTTGGCCGATTATTTTACGGATGTGATATGATTTTCATTTGGTGCCGAGTTGGTTCTATGTATGCTCCACGATAGCCTTGGCATTTACTTTACCGTCATCTGATTCCGATATGAAGGAAAACTCATCGATGCTATTCTTGTCAAAAAAGTATGTATATGAATCTTTGTGTACACTACCCACAAACTTCGACTTCTAAGCCACGGATTTATGGAGCAGATGTTCCTGCAAGCTGAATGACTTAGCTCGGCCTAGATTGGTGATACATTGGAATTAGAATTGAACGTAAATGTGTAGTGAGTACTGAGTATTCATGGACACGAAACGAGGTCTGCAAACACCGCCATCCTTTGTTCTCAACGTTGCCCTTGCCATTCGTCTCGCAAGATGCCCATCGTCAAAAGATCTTCCCAGTGATTATCCATCCACACTGCCTGGCGCTTCCTACCCTCTATAACGAACCCACTGATATAAGAGAATGACATCAATCCGCCATCATTCGCAGATGCGATTACAAGGGCTAATGAGATGAAAGGACACTCACACTTTTTCATAGACAGCAATTGCTCGTGGATTATTTGCAAAGACCCCGAGGGACATTCTGTTCAGACCGAACCACTTGAACGAAAAATCGATCATGAACTTTGTCGCCTCGGTTCCATATCCATTACTCCAAAATTTTGGAAGTAAACAGATCCCAAATGTGCCATCGCGATTCTTTGGTTCGGAGACAGTGATCAATCCCTGACCCATGAATTCCCCAGTCTCCTTGAGCGCGATTACGGCACCAAAGTTTGCCTGGTCCATCGCAACTCTTATTTTCTCCTTGAACTTTGGACCAAGAAGAGTGACAGCATCGTTCATGATAAAGGGCTGAACGAGTGGATCGTTCCAGAGGCGATGGATATCATCGAGGTCGCTCTCGACATAAGAGCGGAGAATCAGACGTTCGGTAGTAAGCATATGATATGGCGAACTGCAGGAACTTGGGGGACGTGCGCCACATCAAAAGGGCTATTCCAAGCTTCTTAAGTGTTGCTTACCCAAACCAGATGAACCTGAGTATTGAGCAGATTTACGTGACATCGTGAGAGGCGCGTCTGTGGACCTTGCGGACCCCTGACCATCTGGAGGTTCATGACGGCGACTCATATGATTGGCGATAGACTGCGCAATCTAAAGTTGAAACTGGCACATCGGCGGGGTTTGCACTTCTATTTATTCTAGGACGAGGTTGGACATTGGGCGCTGGCATTTATGTAACTTTGAACACCCCTAAAAAACTAAGTACTAAGTGAGTCTCGCGACCTCTGATAATGGTATTCAAGCAGCAAAAAAATATGATACCCTTTACGTGCCGACTACGACTTCCGAACAAGGCGCAAGTCCTCTTCTCCACGCGCATCTGAGGCACGTGGTACTGGCCAAAGTCTGGGGACAAGTTTGGGGCATCGGCAGGCCCATCGGCACCTCCAAACGAAGTATGTGTATGAATGTTTGTGTCCGACATCTCGGCGGTTATTAATACCAGGCAGGGAGATAGGCGGTTGGCAGGCGGCAAGGAGAGTGGCGGGCTAAAGGGGCGAGCAGAGTCAAGAGCGACATTCTATGTTAGGCGGCATTAGCCGTTGAAAACATTGAGCGGAGTTTAAACACTGCTTGCAGTGCCGTTGGCTGCCGTCCTGTCTCGGCCCATCTGAGGATTCTGAGCCATCTCTGACATTCTGCCAGTACATCTCTTTTAGATTTTATCATTTCACACCTTCACACGTCACGAACGCACGACCTTTCAAATTGAATTTGCGAATCATCATACACATAGTCTATTTAGCCTCCGGGTCTGTGTTTCACCCAACGTTCCAAAGTCCCGCGTCTCAGCTCAAAAAATTTATTTTCACAAAGTCATATTCAAAACTAGGGTTCGGCGTTGCCGAATTTAACCTTGCTTGTCTGCACTCTTACTAAGCAGATACACGCAGGCTGCTATATTCCCTTGTATTGCTTCGTACAGTGCTATGTTGTGCTACATGTTTGTCAGTAATTGGCTGTGCATGATACTGTTCGGCGTTAGTTGCGAATTTATATGCATGTATACAACCAGCTAACCTGTTTAGCAGGAAATTGATCAATATCATCTCAGCTTTGGTTATGTCGGTTATTGTGTTTTCGACGGATTGTGTTTGTTTCACGATCAAGACACTACCACTAATAGTTTCTTGGTTACCACTCATGCTTGCCATCCGCGCCAGGACATGGTTTCTTGGCATCAGTAATCTTGGATTTTCGACGAACACCGTGTACTTGCATGTCAGCGTTATATCAGTGTTTGGCACTGTTGTGAAAGTGTGTTGCAGGTGTCGTCGCGATGCTGTACAGTCGTCTGGGTCGTGCTGTCTCACCCAGTAACTGATGTATAGGTCGTCTCCCATAGCAGCTATGATTTGCTTCATGGTTAAGTTGTCAAGCGCAGAATTGAGCTTTTGCGACATAGTAGATGGTACTGGATTGTGATTGTAGAAACAAAGCTGTATACAGTTTATTGATATTTATTATTGTTTATTATTGGCAGAAAATCCCACACACATTGTCGCATGCCATATGACCTTGCAAGCAAGGTGACTTCTCGTCTCGTTTTTTTATTGATCTGTCATTCCCCTTAGAACTCACTATCAGCCTTACTACACATGGGTCGTACTTCCCAATAAGGCCAGCCGATCTCGAATGGTGCACATATGGTCCCCGCAAATTTGGCTAATAGCATGTCCTTCATCAACTAGGCCTAGCCATACTTAGTTACTGGAAAATGGCAGGTTTTGCAGATCTCACTAGATTCCAGCTTTATGTCACTGATTACATAGTACGGACTTTATTGAGTTATCGCACATGACGCATTATCATGGATAACACAACCAATGGGATACAACTAAAGCAGTAAGAGTACGAGACGAACTCGTCACGCACAGACCACGTATGCAACCCGACTCAACTCGTCACGAGTTTGTGACAATGAAGAGTCATCGGAAGATTCGGAACGCGCTGCTGCAGCGTCCGCGTCACTGGTCTCTGACGGAGACCTGACAGAAGGTTGAGACTCCAGCTTTTCCAGGGCCTTAGTGACAAATTTGACGTGGGCGTTGTAATTTACGTTTGCAGATAACGAATCCCTATATTCCTAGTCACATTTGAATCCTGCATGAAGAGCGTACATGGCTTTACCTGATTATACCTTCACTGTCGATGACAAAAGTTGTTCTGGCGTCGCCAAATCCCATAATGCCCTTGCCGACATGGAAAGCGTGATACGCAACGTGCTTCTCGTCGCTCAGGACAGGGTACTGTACAGGCAGCGATCATCTAGACCATGACGCTCCAAAACTTCAAGACAACTCACTGTAAGGTTCTGACTCTCAACAAATCGCTTCTGCTTTGGCACAGGATCGGAACTTATCCCGATGACCTGGACATCAGTCCGCTTGAAGATCTCTTTCTCTGAAAATTCATGCTCAATGCACATACATATCTATGCAACAACGGGTATCATACCAACCAATGCATCACGAAATTGACAAGCCTCGCGAGTGCAACCAAACGTTCCTGTGCAGCGAATGGATGAGCACAACTTCGGGTCGGAGCATGTCGATGCACGAGTGCTTACCTGCCTCGGGGTAGAAGAACAATGCAATAGGTCTCTTCACTCGCACCCCCTGTTCTTCAGGGGGAAACTTGAACATGTGTCCGTTCGCATCAGGGAGGGAGAATTCTGGCGAAGACTCATTGACAAGAGGATGGGGCGCCATGGAAATCAATCAGAGGGAGAAGGACGACTAACAAGCTGGTACTGAGTGAAGTTCCGAGATAGTCACAGTGCGAGCTCGTAGTAACAAATCTGGAAAGCCCCCTAATATAGATCTTCCCACGCTACCTCTGCATCAGCAGACATGAATAGTAAATCTGCATTATCTGTGATCATGGCATAGAGTTTACGGAATTCTCTGCAGAAATTGATGCTTTTGCGGGGGTCCTTTGATGGAGTGAAAGCAGAAGGATAAGAACTAGGGCTTAAGTGGTACTGTGAGACCAGGGCGAGACCAGTCACGTTTTTGTCAATTTTTTGGTTGCCTTTGCGAAATTCAGATGATCATGTCCGTTACACGCTGTCGCGCCCATATTTCGGGAAAGGCTGAGCGTACTGACGGTGGGGGAGTTATGGGGAATATGTCACCCTTTGGGCCACCTTAGGTATGAACAGGCGCATCAAGTGGTAGACGCACCGAAAATACGTAGGCTCATCAGATGGCATGTCGAACACGTCGCCGCTATCAGCATCTAGCTTTCGCGTCGATAAGCAACCACAACCCAGGTGGTTATCAGGGCTGCATTCGAAACCCCATAATCTAGTTGACCATGGTGGCAATAATTCCTTAAAGTTCGTCGTCATGAGTTTTACTTCTTTCGGCGGACACGCGAAAGCGCCTGAGAATGACACGGAGAGCATATCAGATAATGGCCGAGGAGTGGCTCTATGACAGAAACCGTGCCAAGGGCTTGGGGTGTGCATGGGAGACTGAAATAACATTCCCATAACGCTGATCATCGCGTCGACGCAAATAACAGGAATGAACGCAACATCTAGACGAGACGGAAAACCAAAATGCCGAGGAAACCATAAAGCGCCTTGTGGAAACATAGATAGTAGTTGAGACTATCAGCGTGAACAAGCGCCACAGGTCAAAGTCATTTTATAATAAAAAAGCATGCACGTTGGATTTGGGGATGATTGCGACAAAGTCGCCATACTAATCAAACATGAAAAGATAAAATTATGATAGCACCTTGAAAGCACACAGCACACGGATTAAACTTGCACGGTTGATTCTCATGGCTTGGGACCCATGGCATCTGAAGAACAATTATAAGCCTATTCCAACTCGGACAAAGACGAAGTGTACCTGCATTCAACTCGGCAAATCGCTGCCCTACCCGCTCAGAGTGCTTCAAAAATTTGTCCGCGCAATTCATAACGCATTGCTCCTGCTCAAAGGTTAAACTCGAATGATGTGAAGATAGGTATGAAGGGCTATCACTTCTTTCGAAGACAATGCTTTGCTCGTGAAGTCATTACAGCACGAATTAAAGCATCTTTCCACGAGGCCTGAGTATAGACGTAGGAAGTCTTGCATCTGACGGGGTGATGCAATGTTCAGACTCTGCTGAAGCGCACATGACGAACCAATACCTGTTTTTTTTCGATGATTTTGGTCATTTGGGCCTGTTCAGCAGAGTTAAGCTGTGAGAAATCCATGACTGAATACTGATAAGAGGATGGCAGAAAAGACGAATGACACAAGAACGTGGTTGGTTGAACAGAGGCACGCAAATAAACTTTCTGAGGAATATGAAAGTGTAAATGGATGACACGTGCAAATATCGGTGCGAATTTACTTTTTTTGGTGCTGGATTAAACCTTGCGCTGCAGGAATCATGACTCGACCTAGGCTCGGGAAATATCTTCATCAGGCTCTCATTCACTATCCAAGGAGGAATTCTCTTATTCCACCTATCGCCATTCTCACAAGATAGCCTGATCAGTGGTATTGATTCCGCAAACCGTACTCATCAGCGTCATCTAAAAACCTATATAGTTCAATGCCAGAAAACGGTAGGCTCTGTATTCTCGCTCATCTTCAACAGACACATATTTACCCTCTTTTCCATTAGATCTCTCAATGGCTCTTTCTTTCAAAGAAGCACTTCAACGGCTTGAGAACCGTCGCGTCAAAGCAACGCGTCCATTGATTCCGCCTCAAATCCTGCAGGAAGATCTCCCTTTGTGCGTGCTTTCACTTTCTGATGATGATATTCTAACGCACATGCAGGACTTTTCTTGCTGCTAACACCGTCGTTGAGGGACGTCGGGCAACTGAAAATATACTCAGAGGCAACGACGATCGGCTGATAGTGGTGGTTGGGTATGAATTAATCATGTGCAGATGAGTCTTGACTGACTTGCAGTCATCAGTCCTTGCTCGGTCCACGATGTGGGTGCGGCAATTGAATATGCCAAGCTGCTCAAAGCCTATGCGGACGTGGCTAAGGATGACTTGCACATCGTTATGCGCGTATATTTTGAAAAACCTCGTACGACTGTCGGATGGAAAGGGTTGATTAACGATCCGTAAGTGTGTTTCCAATGATTTACGACCAACGAGTGCTAATAATAAAGAAACAGCGACATGAATTGCAGTTTCCAAATCAACAAGGGCCTGCGCATCGCGCGCACCCTCCTTTTAGATATAGCTAAACTTGGTTTGCCTGCCGGCTGCGAGTTCCTCGATACAATTTCACCTCAGTACACCGCCGATTTAGTATCCTGGGGAGCTATTGGCGCGCGCACCACGGAATCTCAAGTGCACCGAGAGCTGACCTCTGCACTGTCGATGCCCACTGGATTCAAGAATTCGACCGACGGATCCGTTGGCATTGCGATAGATGCATGCCGTGCCGCTCGGAGTGGCCACGTCTTTCTCAGTGTGGGCAAAGAAGGCCTTAGCAGTATCATTGAAACCGAGGTACGGCAACTTACCCTTTTTAACGCCTCCGCAGCGAGTAACTTTGGTAGGGCAACCCAGACACACATGTAATCTTGCGTGGTGGCTCTAAAGGCCCTAATTATGCTGCAGAATACGTCCGTGATTGTGGCGAGAAGCTGTCCAAAGCTAGTCTTCCTTGCAAAATCATGGTAATTTCCAAGTCATATTCAGGATCTTACTATTGCTGATATGGTCCAAATTCAGGTTGACTGCAGTCATGGAAACAGCCAAAAACAACATCGTAGGCAGACTGAAGTTGTAGAAGACATCGTGAGCATTCCCCCGCTTTTATCTATTGTTATTTACTGTTCGTTCAGGCTCAACAACTGGGGAGCCAGGACACGTCGGCGTTCATTATGGGTGTCATGCTTGAGTCTAATCTCGTCGAGGGACGGCAAGATTTACCGTCGAGTGGTCCTACTGGCCTCAAATATGGCCAGTCAGTCACCGATGCTTGTCTGTCTTGGGACATGACCGTCCCCGCTCTTGAGCGTTTGCGTGAAGGTGTTCGCGCTCGCCGAGAGTTGGTTTACTCAAAAATCCAAAGGCTTGGAACTTCTGGCTAACGGCGCGAAGGAACCTGAAGCTCAATGATACCGGTGGCATCAATAGCTCCAATGGCCATTAATGCGGTGTACGTTGTGTATTGATTTTACTGTCGATCATCGCGTATTATGAGCTTTTTGTATACTCAATCGCATATATATCGAAATGTACACTACCTGATTTAACAATGTCCTGTCTTCCAGCGGTGCATGCAGTAGTAAGGTCTTGCTCGGGTATTTGCGACAGAAGCATCATGATCTTCTGATAAGCGCCCGTGCCCATCTTTAGCCAATCACCATCATGAACTTCGTCGTGAATAACCGAGTTTTATAATTTTATGGCTTGCAATCTGGCGGAAGTTAGTGTAGAGTCGGATAGACTGCGGACTCCAAGTTCGCGCTCTTGCAGGTCCGACTTTGCATGCGCGAGTTGCGAAGCGATCACTTCCGACGTTCCAATGAACCGCAATTACTCCAGCAAAGTTCAAACCACATTTTGAACTGTGAACTCACTGGCACTACCGCATGTCATTCTTTTTGGTCTATTAGCATTACACTAGTCCCTCGGCATCAGGCATAATTTTAATTACGGCGACAGCGTACGCCGAGTGGCAGAACCGAACCCAAAGCACAAGTTCTTCATCGCCTGCCGCCCATGCATTTGTTTCCGTTTCACTACAATTTTTTGCAGAATAAAGCTCTTCTTCCAGTCAGTCGCTGACATCTGACATCATGCTCAACATCACCCAGCTCATCGTTACTAGATTGGGTTCTTTGTTCTCTGGATCTCATCCGAAATTCTGGTTGACCATAACAAATCGGAAACCCCTGTCGACATCCATATTCATCTCGCTTTCACCGAAGCTATTAAGTTATTCATTGCATTCGGTTTATACTTCTGGAGACAAAAATACTTCCGCTACGATTCGCTCGATCCTTGCCGACATGACAACGAAGATCAACCTTTGGACAATATCGATATCCCACTCGAATGCAATCGCGAGCCTTTTACTCCCAGGAATGTCCGACTCAACGAGCTGGCACAAAGACTCTGTCCTCGGTCAAGCCCGAGTCTTGGTGGCGCGCGCTCGAGTTTGTCCATCCTTGGCATCTCCACGCTGTACGCGATTCGGGCCTATGTGGTATGTCCGGCTCTTTTTTCATCCCAGGGAAATTACGACTACTTCATATTTCTCATAGATATCTAGAAGCAGAGAACACATCGATCCACTCGCACCATACCTTGTAATCCCCGCGGCGAGTCTCTGTTCGCTATTTGTGCTGCGTGCGTTCTTTTGCAGGACGTATGCTCCGCAACTGTGGTATGCTGCTCTTTTACAGGTATGTCATTCCAGGAAACTGGTAAGATAGCGATCTTCCTGAGCACTTGATATGACTTAGTTTTGCGGGGTTTTTATCGTTCGGGTAAGGCAACTACTGCCAGCAGTTGAGCCTTCTCTAATTCTATTCAGAGCGGTCTCATTGACCGCTCAAATGACTTGCCATACCTCTCGTTGCTTGCCTCTGCGCTCAGCATCACGTTTTCTGACACCTTGGTTGATATTGTAAGTCATAAAATCTCACACTTGGACCCAAGTTCAGAGTAGAGCCTGTTGTACACACAGGTCTACAAATCACACCATCCATCATTTTTCGATGCTATCAACTTGCTTATTTTCGCTGTCGGCTGTTTTGCCCATTTATCGTTCTATATGTTCCGCGTCGCCTTCCTTGGAACTGGAAGCCATGGTTTTGGATCGCACGCGGATCCGATCGCACTGGCTCTGTCATGTCTATCGGAGGCCGGTCGAGACATATTCGCGCTCTATGCCATATACTGTGAGTATTTTATGTTTCATGCATGCCTCATGCTTAGGCCAGCAGATTACGATATCATTCTAGAAAGCATCATGACCGCGCTTGCCTCGACCGTTGTCTTTTTCTCGCTGACTGCAGGTTTCCTCAACGAGCCAGGTGTATTCATAGGATGCTTTCTCACATTGACAGCAGCGGGCATATATGTCTCCAGCATAAGACAGACCACGGAGGAAGATGTTGAATCTGAATGCGTGACTCGGGTAGGCAAACTCCACAGATGGCCCGCTCTTAAGCTGATACAAAAAATCAAGCCTCGCTATCCGGTTGTATTTGTATTTGCAGCGGTATTGGTCGGATATATGCTTTTTGTATCGTTCACAATGATACATGAGAATGAATGGACAACACACACCCCTGAACCGCAGTGGGGCTTCACCTCGGAGTTGGAGTCCAAGCCAGGCGATTGTCACCGCCGGCCTTTACTGTTTCATTCGCATAGGAAAACACTGGAAAATTACGACCGCTTCAATAACATCCTGCTAATAGTCTTCTTCAGCCACGCTCGTTACGGCGCCAACCTAGATTACCACCGAGAAGTATATTCTGATTATTTTCCAAATGTGAGTGCTGTGCGACCAAGTCTTTTGGTTAGGTTCATATATCCGATATTAGATTTTCTACATTGGACCTGCCTCCCGCGAGGATTCCGGCTTTGATCACTCGTATGATGTCTTTGTGGACTCGTACCATTCGGATGAGGATCTGACTGATCCATCATATTATAAGATGGCAGGACGCGTGTGTACTCCAAGCATTTTAATTCACGTGCCTGGTGTTCATCAGTCACATAGATGGCTCATCATATGCTGTATACCGCTCTTCAGGAGCAAGACTGTTATGATGGGTACTTATGGGTGCCGTTTGATACTCTGCTGAATATTCCACGATTGGAGAAGTTTGACCGGGAATTCTTTTGGTATCATTCACCATGGGGCCTGCCTGTATTTAACCCTGCACAGGATAATAATCTCAGCCTCGGCCTGCATGCTCCCCCTGTCAACGTATCGCCGGATCCGTCTATCAATCTCACGGAAACATGGAGGGGATGGGGATCTGACTGGTGGTACGTGATATTCTGATAAACTCTCATCGATATTTCTGATTATCTCTTGGCAGGTGGGGGTGAGTTAATTCACAAGGCGTTCCCCTGCGCTTATCTGATAGCTATCGCACATCTATAGTGATCCACACGTGGGAGTCGGAGTCTGCATGGAAGCTTTCTGGAAAGTGCCCGTGCACTTGAGAGAACGCCTCGCTGCATTTACCAATGGTGAAACGCGCCTTATCGGAGGCTCCGCAGACACGATGTACATCCCAGGGCGGCACCGCAGGATATTTATGGAAGTATTGAGCCTGTTCCTTGAAACGACTTGCTTCCTTGAGATTGCTGTACCTACAACACTGCACTTGGTCGCGCCTCGCCATGAGCCGATTCTCTTTGTGGACCATGTGAGACTTGGCGTGTTTTTTGCTGTCTGTAATGTGTGCTGACTGATTGTGGGATGACAGTGGTGGATATATCAGCCGCCGTTCAATGCGTCTTTTGTGAGGCAAAAGTGGGAAGAGGGATACGAGGTGGATACGTTTCATACTTTCCATTGGGGTGAGCGCGATGGAGATAATGTGTGGAGGGCCAACTACGAAAACGTTGTAGACATTCGACGTCTGTTGAGGGAGTCGGCAGAGAGACAGCAAGTTGTTTTTCCTGTTAGGTGAGCTGCTTCGTTGAGTCGTGGGTTCATGCTAATAGCGAAATAGAAATGAGACGCAAGCCAGATGAAAGGGGCGGCGTGCTTTTCCACCAGTCTGTCGGACCATAACAGAAGGGATGGAATCCCTCTATATCATATACCTGTTTCGGCGGAACGATGTTATCAACTTTATATCACATACTTCGGATCTTGGACCAAGGAAGGTCGAAACTCCTTCCGATAATCGTTTAGGTATTAAACCTTGCATAATAATGATACAGAACAGAGCAAATACAGTATAAGTACGTCTATGTGCACTGAGACCATGCCCTTAAAACAATCCCTAACAATGTCATTCCAAATCAAAGACAGCATCACGACACATGGAGACGATCGTGCAAATCCCAGGACAACTCTTGAGCATTACCCGCAGTAAAATCATTGCAGCTTGAAATGACTACCGTCTTCAGTGTAGCATCTGGCGTTGCATGATCCGTGTAGTGGACGCGTGCACTTAAGGTTTTCACCAGCGCATCCCCCGAGAGCTGTTGACAGCTGTACATCTTGAGAACCGAAAGCTGGGGCAGGCGTACGCTCATCTGCTCCCCATCTCCATCTTTAACAACAAAAGGCATGAACAGCGCAACCACTGAATCCGACATATCCGACCCAACAATGGAGAACTGTTTCAGGTCGGATAGCTTATCAAAGACCCAGCGGAAGTCTTTGGTACGCATATCTGATAAATCCATGTCTAGGATCTCGAGCGGGGGGTGTGAGCGCGACAAGAGTTTGCGGATTCCCATACCAGTGTGAAGGTCGCTGTGTGGTGACTGGGAAAAGTCGTGGGACTCGTCGTCGCTGTCACCTTCTTCGGAGACGTGGTATGGTTCGAGTGAGTAGTCTACATTGATGTGACGCAGATGAAGCTCTCGCAATGCAGGGAGGTGGAGATGCGAGAGGATGCTGCGCTGATTGCAAACCTGGTCTAGGAGGAGCGTGTGTAATCGCGGAAGGGCGATGGAAGGCGGTGGCGCGTTAAGAGTGCCTTCATCATTGGATAAACCGTGAAAGTATAAGTGCTCCAAGTTCGGACAATGGGCAAGAAACCGAAGGAGGTCCGGTGAACGGACGGAGTATTCAAATGCAGTCTCTGAGATGTCGAGGGACGTGAATAATAAGGGGTTGACCATTTCTGTATGGGGCAGTTTGGTCGTTGCTACTCTCATGGATATGTGACGGTATGTCGTACTTCCACAGGAGAAAAAGATGACATCATCTTCATCATCACCTGCGACGTCCTCGAAGGGAGTCTTGAGAAGAATATCAAGATGATGTAGTATGCGACGAGGCGAGGACAGGGTGAGGTCGGATAAGGATGTCTCGAAAATTCTTCCGTCATAAGTGATAGTGCAGCGCATCCATCGGGCGATATTGGGGAGGAAGCACGACATGATAGGTAACAGTCGCTCGAAATCTGTTAGCTTGAGGACTACATTGAATGGAAGAGGCGAGGAGCGAGTGACCCATAACTCTGCCTGAGTACGGATGGAGGACATGGCGCGCCTCGATTCTAGTACGACGATGGTCTGCCATATGCAGGGTGCCGATACGATCAAGTCTCTCCATAAACGGCAGACTTTAGATAGTGTGAGGGGGATATGCCAGTCACCTGTGAGGCTGCAAGTCGAAAAGATCTCGATGAGTAATTCTGAAGGTAAAGATGCAAAAGGAGGGAAACTTTGAATATCCTTGTTAACAGTACTAGTGGATATGATCATGGTACCGTGGGTGCACAGCATCGGATGAGGAACCCCACGATATTATGCCATTTACGTAAGCAGAAACTTGAAGTTGTTGTAGTCGATGAGGTGCGTGTAAAAACCTGCCAGTCAGATCAAATGGGGCTCAAATATTCTTGCCTGCACTCGAACGCAAGCGGTGACTGTACCCAAACATGTCCAGGACTATCTGGAATTGCGGGCGACACGCCTACATTGATAATCTTCTGCGATGAAAATCATGTCGTTGTACAGGGCAGCGGGCTGCTCAACCTTCGAATTTATGTATCGACCTTCTATGTGTCGCGTGTGCAGGACTGTCAATTTGCTCGCATAGATTCGAGTGCCATTCTCATCGTAAACGTTTCGAAAATACCTTGCTGACTAATCCAGAAACTGCACAGCGGTGGCTGAATTTCAACTCAGTACTGAACTCTATTTCTCAGAGTCGTACACAAGTCGCCAACCGTCGCGCGAAACGTTCCGCGTTACTTTCCTCAAGGTTATTCACGGTCGTCTTTCCCACTATTCAACATGCCAGGAGTAAGAGATATCAGGTACGTAATTAACTTGTGTCGAATTGACCCATTATTTAATCGTGAATATCACTTGCAGCGCCGATGCTTTCATTACCGCATATGCTTCCCATCTCAAGCGGTCGGGAAAGCTTGAAGTCCCAACATGGGTCGACATTGTTAAAACCGGGTCTTTCAAGGAGCTTGCACCTTACGACCCAGACTGGTACTACGTCCGTGCAGGTGCGTTGCGCTCGGTACCGTTTATCAGAGAACAATTTTAAAGAACGATCATAATCAGCTGCTGTTGCACGACACATCTACCTCCGCAAAGACGTCGGTATCGGTGCATTGACAAAACTTCACGGTGGCCGCAACAGACGCGGCAACCGCCCATCACACCACGCCGACTCCTCTGCCTCCGTCCAAAGAAAAGTCTGTCAATCGCTGGAGAAGATTGGTGTCTTGGAGCAGACCGACAATGGTGGACGACGGATAAGCCAAGACGGCCAGCGGGATTTGGACCGTATTGCAACAGCTGTCGTCGAGGCTGCAAAGGAGGAGGAGGATGAAGAGGAGGAAGGTGAAGAGGAGGAAGAGGAGGAGGAAGAGGAGTAAACTGATATCCACCTCCACTTGCTAATCCTGCATTGTCGCTTGCTCTGCACGTGGTCACCATGGATATTATGACGATACGGTATGATGCATGCATATCTTTAAAAATATGGCACTTCACTGCTTTTTCCATTATCTGACGTTGTTTTTTTAATTCCATGGCCACTTGCATCCAGTGAGTGCTGCTGTTTCACCATTTTTGGGCTGTTATACGTGAATGGACGCTGATAAGACCCAATATATTTCACTGAGTGCAGATTGAAGAGCGTTTTTATTTTCTGTGCCGAATTTCAGGTGAAAATTTGGCACATGACCACATAACCACCACGACCATGGCGATCTACGTGTTTCCCCTGTCTTGCGAAGTTTAAGAACCACAATCACAATCACAATTATTTCCTACCAAGAATTGACCACTACCAAGTCCTAGACTCGTGGCATCATATTATTGAACAAGCAGTCCACACACGCCTCATCCCCAAGTGAACTGAAAGCTAAATCTGTTCTTCATCTCTTTTGTGGATTGGAGACGTTCATGGTTAAGTATGTTGAGCCAGCGTTGACGTTGAGCACGCAGAGCTTTGTACTGAGTACTATCGCTTGTTTCTCAGGCTCCCTTTCTCAGTAGATGACCGTACATCGTCAGAGGTTTTCACACATGATACCCTACTCTCGAAATAGTGCGGATGATAGCATACTGCATCTGATGAGATTCTCTTGCTAGATATTTATTGCGTTCATTACTCTCCTAGTAGGTGTCGAGATTGGGTTGCGGAATGAAGATCCGGACGGAAAATGGGTTATGTAGGAAAACAAACCATCATCCGTGCTAGATCCTGGGCTGTCATTAATCTCAGAATGTTCCTCGCAAAAGTTGGTATTGTCGAGTTCGATACACACAAGGAAACGAGATCGATCTATGTAGTTGCGAGACGAAAAGATAAGAAATACATAGAAGCAAACGTGAAATAGTTGTGTACCTGTACCTGTATTAATGACCATCGGCATGTGGGGGAGATGCACAACAAAGAAACAGCACGAAGCGAGCTCGCAGTGGAAGAGGTCGTGAATGCACGGTCGTTGCACCTGATGCAACAGTACTAGTAGCAGGAGCAGGTGGTGTCGTGGATGCCGAGGGGGTGGCAGGCTGAGTTTGCGATGATGATGCCTGGGCTTGGCCTTGGCCTTGCGGTTGGCCTTGCTGCTGCAGTGCTGGTTGTGCATTTGTATTGGCGTGTCGAGGAGATGCGCAGCAGAGAAAAAGCACGAGATCACACAACAACCGGACGGGTAGTGAATGGGGATGTCTTGGACGTGGTGTATCAGAATTAGTACCTGCAGCTTGCTGTGTCGTGAACGACTCCTGGGCGTGCGATTGGGTTTGCTGCTGTGTTCTTTCTAGTGGCGGCGGGGCAGTAAATATAACCTGAACAGAAATCATTAAATTACAACAATTTTAAACCCACCCAAAAAACATACCTCCCTGTCTCGCACTGCAGCTACTTCGACAACACGAGGTCGCCTTGAGCGTTGCGGGAGTTCGATTTCTTCATTGGTGTGAGGTTGAGAGCGGAAGAGTGAGGACAGGGAATCGATGAGTGTATCTGGACGTAATCCCGAAGGCGTTGTGTGGTGAGGTTCGATTTCTCCATCATTGTTGAGTCGAGATTGTGGCCAAAGTGAGGACAAGCTAGCGAGAGGCATATGTGGATGTAATCGCAAAGGCGGGGAGGATTGCTGAAGTTCATTTGGTGCATTGTTTTCACGTAGAGAGTGGCGAGTGAGTGAGGACAGACTAGCGAAAAGCGCACGCGGATGTAATCCCGAAGGTGTTGAGGGTTGTGCTTCAGTTAAGTTATTAGTGTCGGAGTGAGAGCGGTGGCAAGGCGACGAAAGGCGATCGAATAATGCTCTTGCACTCCCCAAAGAGAGTGCAAGAAGGCGGGGATGGCGGGAGGAGGAAGGGTGATAGTTACCGTACGTTCCGGAGGGCTGAAATCAAGAGGTCAGAATAGGAGTCGATTAAAAGCGCTGATGACGCACATAAGCACCATTTGTCACGTCGTCGAAAAAGCCTGGCGGAAGTTCATCGTCCATGGCCTGTGTAGCATCCGCCTAAATAGAATATCCAGGTTACAACCATCGGAAAAGTTGATAATTAGATCACGTACATCCATGAATGACTCTTGAACTGCAACCTCTTGAACTGCAACCCCCGAAGGTGTTGAGGGTTGTGCTTCAGTCAAGTTATTAGTGTCGGAGTGAGAGCGGTGGAAAGGCGACGAAAGGCGACCGAATACTTTTCTTGCAGTCCCCAAAGAGGGTGCAAGAGGGCGAGGAGCATCCGCCTAAATAGAATATTCAGGTTACAACCATCGGAAAGGTTGAGAATTAGATCACGTACAACCTGCAAGTGGAAGATTAGTGTAGTGTTGACTGAAGAGCGATGAGCTTTACATCAGATAAAGGTAGGAAGAGGTCTTCAAGGCCAGCTTTTTTGAAGATGGCGTGAATATCCCATGTGTACGCGTCTGCATTTTCGGAACCAGTGACTAGCAGCTTTCCATCAGCAGAAATGGCTGTGCAGCGCACCCAATCTTCATGCTGGAGGGGTGGATTGACTGAGAGGCCGGTGTTGAGATTCCACAGACGTGCTGTTTTATCGAGCGATGTGCTTGCAAGGAATCGTTGATTCTGAGATACGGAGATTGCGTTGACGAAGTCTGTATGACCCTCCAGAATGGCGATCTGCTGCCAAGTGGCCGTGTCAAATATCCTAATCTGGCCGAATGAACCCGATATAAGCTTTCCATCCGACGTCCATGCCAAGCTCCAAACTTGAATATCATGTTTGAGCGTGTTAAGCAGTCCGCCCGTCTTGGCATCCCAGATTTGTATTGCATCCTCGTCTCCACCGGTTGCAATTTTTGTTGCATCGGGTGAGTATACCACCGCGTTCACCCACTGGTGCCCGGTTTTGATTGTCAGGACAGTTTCGACAGTTTCGCCACTTTTGACATCCCAGACTCTTACCATCCCATCCCAGGATCCGCTCAGCACTCGTTTACCATCTGGACTCCAGGACAATGTACACACAACATCTCTGTGTCCTATCCATTTGGCAATAACTTCCTTCGTCTCGACGTCCCATAACCTCACTTTCCCGTCATGGCATCCAATTGCAATTGTCTTGCCATTTGGAGACAATACCATGGACCGCACTGCTACCTCATCCTCTCCATCTCTCCAGTCCTCTCCTATCTGTGCGCCTTTCTCTTGGTCCCATAATCATAATGAGCCGTCCATCGAACATGTGATGATCTGTTGTCTGTCATGCAAATGCACAACACCGGTTACCCAATGAGTATGACCTTCCAACGTCTGGAGTGGCGTGATCGCTGGTGTCTGACTGGTGGGGAAAGACATGGTCGGCGCTCAGTACCTGAACAGATTCTGCACTATGTATGCGAGAGAGGCTGAATCTTAGAATTGGATTGGGTTATCCAACAACGGCAATAATTGCTGGTGAGTCAAGGACCTGTCTTTTTCCTACCTTAATTCTTATCAGGGCACACAAGTCATTGTTAACAAGACAGACCACTTACAGGATCTACTCTTTACCCAGAAGCTAACTTCGGGATTGTCTATGGAGGAAGTGCTGCGGAAATTAGAATGTGCAAGAGATCTTTGTGGGTACCCGAAGTTGCTGGTAAGCATCTCGTCAGTTGTATTCTGCAGAAAAGCCTACAGTATCACTTACAAGTAACACCGTTTAGATGATTCCTCAATCACCACTATCAGAGGGCGTCTGGTTGGGAGTTGAAGAAGCTGGATTCAAGTCGTCTTATAAGGTTCGTTCCTTGCGCCATCTTCATAGCTTATTGCTATGTAGATCAAGCGTTCAGCGCTCGGGTCTGCCACCAGTGCTGTACGAACCTTCCTATACGTAAGGACTAAATATTTCTCGCGCCCCATTTTTCCTGCACTGACACCAGATCAGATCACTGACATAATTAACATTGATGGTGCCACTCAGCCACCATCGAACTTCTGTACAACTCGTCACGTTGCTCGCTAGCTGACGTTCGATAGCCGCTCATCGATGCCAATCCCCGTTCCCCACATACAACCACAATTGTCACAATTTTGCATGAAATGTGTAAGTGAGACGTACATGACATATGTTAAACAAAGTCCTCACAGTTCTTTGAAGGAATTCAGTGCACCCCGAACCAAAAATTCTGCTAACACCCCAGAAAGCCGTGATGTTAGTTGCCTGACTTATGCATAACTCAGTGCTACGAGCAGGTGGTGTCGTGGACGACTTTTGGGCGTGCGATTGGCTTTGCTGCTGTGTTTTTTCTGGTGGCAGCGGAGCAGTAAATACAACCTGCACAGAAATCATTGAACACTAGAAATCAATATGCCAGAGAAAGACATACCTCTCTGTCCTTTACTGCAGCAACTTCAACTACGCGAGGACGGTGACGAGAAAAGATAGGTTGCGGGAGTTCGATTTCTTCATTGGTGTGGGGTTGAGAGTGGCAGAAAGGCGACGAAAGGTGACTGATGAGCGCACTCACACTTCCCAAAGAGGGTGCGAGAGGGCGGGGACGGCGGGAAGAGGAACGATGATGGTTACCGTACGTTTTGGAGGACTGAGATAAAGAGGTCGGATTAGGGACGAATTAAAAGCGCTGATGCTCATACATAAGCACCATCTGCCACATCGTTAAAAAAGCCTGGCGACAGTTCATCACCTTCAGCCTGTGTAGCATCCGCCTAAATAGAATCTCAAGGTTACAGCCACCGGAAAGGTTGAGAAACAAATTGCATGCATCCATGAATGACTCTTGAGCTGCAACCTGCAAGGGGGAGATTAGCAGAGTTTGGATTGAAGAGACATAAGCTCTACATCAGTAGTAAAGGTTGAAGGAGGTCTTCAAGGCCAGCTTCTTTGAGGATGGCGTGAATGTCCCATGTGTGGGCATTTTGTCTTCGGAACCAGTGGCTAGCCGCAGCTTTCCATCAGCGGAAATGACTGCACCTGTAGCTGGGGTAGTGATGTATCACTTAGTGCTCTTACCATAGCGAAATGGTGATACACGAATCAGTCTGTCATATAGTGCCCAGATCCCGTATGTCGTTGGTACCTTGCGATCTTGATGAGATTGGATCTTCTAAGTTCTTATGGTCAATGACTCGTGCGTGATATGATAAATATATCAAGGGCAGTACATGAATGATGTGCTACAAATTGTCCTACGACTGGGGCTGTTCAAACGTTCAGCGGCACTGGCAAGAACCGGTACGTCTCTCCACAGGTCCTGAAAGGAGGCCACAAGCGAGAGACGCGGCAGTGCAGCCTGACAATATGTGTGCAACATAGTACTGGGAGAGTGTGGCAAGTAACGGCTCAAGGCGGCGGTGCATGGTGATGGTGGGAGGCATTGGGAGAGGCAGTAGTGGTGATGTAGAATAGGGCTGGTAGATGGTGTGTATAATATCCCAGCAAGCGAAGCTGCTGGCAGTGGATTGTGCAAGCTGGTAGTGGGTGTGGGTAGTGATGGTTCGGAAGTACAGCCGCTCAATCTCCAATTATAAGTGATCAACTAACTGCTGTCTGATTAAAAGTTGAGCACTCATTCATTCGACCAACTTGTAAGGTGCACTGATGTATCTATTGTCTTGTGTCACTTCACTGCTTAAATGCTGTGTAGATGAGCGCTCGTGCGCATGTCCGCAACTGGCACTACTTATGTGCAACGACTGTCCTGTGTGAATTAGTACGTTGGAGGTTACGCCAAATATTCGTAGGAGATGCATTTCTTATCTACTTCACATGGTTTTTTCTAGCCTATTTCTGAACTCAATACTGTCATATTGTCCCCTTGACTCGATCGACCTGGACGTCTTGGTGGGTAGAGTTTCGCGTACTGCTAATATGGCTCATCCTGTAAGTTAAGAGGGGAGTCGCTGTGATCGAGAACCATCTATCACTTGCATAGAGAAGTGATAATACATATATAGCGGATATGCAAGTCTTGATCTTAACATGAAGATAAGTTTTGGTGAGACACTGCTGCGTAGATGTGCGGCAAAAGCCACATTAATTAGAGAGAGATAAACACCTTTGTCTGATTATCCTAACAACGTAACGAAAGCACGCATCGTGGCGTCGGCACAATTCTTCAACTGCCAGGAAAAGCGTCATCGAAATGTCTGAGTCTCCACATCGTATCTCCGAACCAGTAACAATGATTGGATAGCCAATGTTTTTGGTTTACAGTTACAATGCAAGCTCCTCGCATAAATGATACACGGCGGGCTAATTTGGTACTCACAGGAGTGCCATGGACGCCTCGAACGCTCCTGAAGATGATGAATCGCATCACTGATGTTTCCATCTGGAGTGTTCTACGAGAACAGTATCTGTGTAGTATCCATCGTAAACCAGAACTTCACGGTCCGAAGATTTTTCCACTGACCAGAATGTGATACGAGTATCTTGTGCTCCCATCATGATGGCTTTCATCGAGTGAATTGAGAACTGCACTATCCTCCTTTCAAGCAACATGGGGGAGTATCGTATATTGCGTGATACTCGTGAGTCGCGATATCAGGGTCATGTGCTATTTAGGCTGTAGAACATGTCAGTGGGATGCTCTGACACGAATGGACGAAGGAGCATAGCATGATACCACTGATATTAGGGTGGGCTAAGTCCTGCTTTTAAGGTCATGACAAATTGATAAGGGCTTGGGCTTGAAACACGTGTTGGGGCAGCTGATCAGTGATATCAGTCGACCGGTTCCTTATCCATACATGTTGATTGGCACGACAGTTGAATTCGTATCGTAACCATGTACCAGAAAGCGAAGTTCTTTTTCTTTTTTGCAGGTGATCGGACAGATGGGTCAGATGCTGATTGTGCAATGCGCCTCAGAAGGTTCCCAGATTCGATACCAGATATCGATATCCCATTCAAGCGCAATTTGCAAACATTGAGAATATGGATAAGTGTTCGGATTTGATAAAACTCGCGCATCTCCATCGCATGAAATTACTGCATAAACGCCCAATGTAAACCTTTCGAGGGTCAGTTCTATTACGGAGTGTAGGACTGTGAAGTATTGATGCTCACCATTATAAACGACAACTTAATTCTGGGAAGTACGGACTGCTGCCCAGCCTGTGTACATCCTAAATATTGACATCATCGAGTTCGAAGATAGGACGGAAGAAACGTGCGGAGTCCGGGAGCGGATGATGCTGACTCATCTCAATATAATTCAAGTTGCACCTATACATATGTTTTTCATAGTAAGTAACTTACCCGCACCAGTATGAATCAAGCTTGTTGCATGATGGATGGATGGAAGGAGTCTATCGTCGGCTGCTTTTCTGAGTACCGCCCGCTTCACGAGGACAACCCTTTCATCATCTTGGGACTGCATTAGTGATACCCGGACCCACTGGCAGTGGGTTAGAGATCAATTTGAGTCGCATGACTCATGGAGAACACTGGTCGAATTGCCGAGATGTATGAGCTATTAGCCTTGACTGTCGTAGTTGCTAAAACAATATCTCTAGCGCTACTCGCAAATGATCCAAACATTTTAGTAATGCCGGGTGTACAATCTTGTTGACGTTCTATGTCAATCTAGCTATATCTGCTATCGAGCTTGAATTTGAAGTTGTCCGTTATCATCGTCATCGCAGAGTGAACGTTGTAGCAAGAGCATAGCACAAGGTTCCCAAAATCTAATTCGCGCCACAAGTACTGTAGAGTAACGACGGCGTGATAAGCCGAGATGGTTTGCTGTTCTAGGGTTCTTGTGTTCCTCAATTAGATGCTTTGAAATTCGATACCAACTATCTCATTTTTCACCGGGTACGCGAGAGGTATGACAATCTGATGGGGCGATTGCACCAATAGCCTTGAGATCGGATGCAAGATGGAGGGTAGACGGAGGTGCGCGAGACTGATGAATGGTGCAGGTGGTTCCCCAAACGCTTATCTATATCCATAGATGCTAAACCTCTACCCTGGATAACCGAGCGACTGGTCGACCGGTCAGCCTTGGGTCAGCTGCCAGATCTTCCCCAACACGTGTCCATGCCCTTATCAACCAACTCGTCATCAACTTAAAAGCAGGACAAAACACTCACCCTATCAGCATCAATGGTTTCCTCGCCATCCTCCATCCTCCATCCTCCGTTCATGTCAGGGTGTCCCACTGGCCTGTTCCACAACCTAGACGACACATGAACTTGATATCACGACTTTCGTCACGGAATATACAATACTCTCCTGAAGACAAGATGCTCGTATCGCATTTCCGTCAGTGAGATAACTGTTCTTCAGACCGTGTACTAGTTCCAACTCACAATGTATCCCATACCTTTCCACTAGATCCTGCTCT